TTGTTCACAATGCCTGCGGTTGACTTCATTCATCCTGACCATCACTTTCCCGTGAACGAATCTTGTCCCATACTTTTTTGACCTCGATTTTTTACCGCATCAAACGAAGGAAATCCTGATAATACTGCCTCATGAGGACAGAACGTGGACAGCTAATTAGCTGTCCCCAGCTGCGGAAGGTTTATCGATTTTCTGGTTGTTAAAAAATTCAAGCGTCAAACAATAGAATTCATTTCTGGGATGGAATATTATTTTATCAACTGGTTATCAGTTTGAGCAAGTAACTATGTTGACCCAAACCTTTGGCGCCTCTTAATATTTTGATCGACGTATGCGAACCCAACAAGCGCTGGCAACTCGACATATGGTGGCCTGGCTGGATTTTTGTAATGATTCCGGTGGCTAAATTGGCCGAACATTTGTCCCTCAAGACTCAACCATGTCAGCGGGTCACCGTACTACGTACGGGCTGGGGGTAAAGTCCTATTGTTCTCTCCGATAAAGTGAAATCGGGCCTAAAAAGCCGCGCACTTCGATCGCGTAACTCTTGACCGACGGCCTGTTATTAAGTTTGGTCGAAGTACTTCTTTTTTGATCCAAAAGTCTGGTTTTACTCAAAAGGTACTTTTCGTGAGTAGTATGCTTATTCTCTACCCTTTGGGGTAGGCAAGTCGGTCACAGCTAAGTGAGCCGTTGACTCTGGGTAAGGTCTATCGATACAACCCTGACATCCGTTTCCTTTCGGGTCGGAATATTGAGTTAAAGGTTAGGAGCAGAGCCCCGGAACAAAACGGCGCCGTCTCCCACTACCATGTGGGTAAGACTCTTGAGTTAGACGCGCCCGATACCGTAACTCAATCAAATCTCCTTTTGTCTTGACGGTTGCAAATTATCATCGTCGTACGCAGTGTAGAAGTAGCCGCTACTCTCTTTTCCTTTAATCACTTTCAGCTCTTNGAAGTAGCCGCTACTCTCTTTTCCTTTAATCCCTTTCAGCTCTATTTGTTCTCCCAACACGATCCAGGCTGTTTGTAACCCTACAAACCAACGTCCACTTGTGATACATTTCTCAGCGTTCAGTGTTTTTGTCAAACAGGTCAGCATATTACGACCATACATCTGAACATGACATGACAGCTCAGCTTCCCCACTGTTTACTCTCAGGGTTTCGTAAGGTCCACACTCCGTTGTCTCAGTGCTATGGTTATTGTTTTGAGTACAAGAGTCGAAGACACTCTTCTCGACTGAACTTATGTGAACATTCGGCTGTCTGTAGTCTGTCAGGATCCTGATCTAAATGCACTTCTTTATCTGTATGCACGCACAAGCAAACTGCAGCGACCACACTCCCAAAAGCGCCTTTTGCAGAGAAACTTCTTGACTCCTGCGGAAATCAAAATTCACCCTGTATCAGTATTCCAGCTGGCAATTTGTACACCCCGGTTGGAGTGGTCGGCACGCACGAAATTCATCTCGGCAGCAAACTTGGAGTAAATGTTCTCAAAGTCGACAGCAATAGTCGCTTCATACAGCTTCGTGCTGATCAGCGTCTGCTTATCGGAAGCGTAAAATTTCAGAAAAAATACTAGCAACATGCCTCTTGTCGCGTCACCTATCTGGGAGCTGATCATGTTCTGGGACACGCATATGCGTTCACCTTACTGCCTGACTCGCGCCTTGTTCGTATCACAGCTCAGTTTTTTTAGATTAAGCGTAAACCATTCACGTTTGTGACGTCCACTGTCCGCACCATCCAGCCATCAAATAAAAAACTGTCAGTAGAAGCTCCCTAGGCAACTTCCATACACGAAACAAGTCGTTCGGCTGAAGGAATCGCTATAAATAGGTTTGCTTCACTATATGCGTGTGTCCTAAAACGGAGCCCTATCCTGACTCAAGCTGTATCTCACAACAATCCATATTTCTGATCGAAGGCGAGGAAAGCATTTCCACCATGTCGGTAATTCGATTCACATGGGAGCTATCTGGAGCAACTTTTTGCCTGCTACCTCAAGACTGGTCGGGACAAGTGGTGCATTAGGAAATCCTAAGAGACGGAAAACGTGGTGCCTGGCGGAATAAGTTAAATATCGTTTCAGCTTGTCAAAAACGCCAGGCCAAGCAGCATCATTTACACCAATACTGGTGCTCCACTGTCTTGAAGGCATATCAGTTTATCTGAGAAAAACCATGGAATGAAAAAAATGGAACGGGACGGGGGTAACCAGAGCTAGTCTGACATAAGTTCCCTAACTGTCTACACCTTCAACACTCAGAGAATGTGAATCGAAATGGACAGCATGAGCCCCCCCCCCCAATATCTGTTAGCGACTATATCTCCCAGTATATTCAGCCAAGCGCAGTTAGGGTAGCACGAGCCTCGTCGTACTTCACTCTTTTCTGTCCTGTCTTATTCTGCTCGTCACTTCGTTTCCACCACTCTGAAGTGGGCACGGAGAACAGCATCCACCTCGGAAGATCGTACTCTAGATCGTGTCGGCAAAACCGTCGGGTTACACGTCAAATCGGAATCGTGTACCGCCAGAAGCCAGCCATCCGTTAAGTACTGGCCGCCATCGGATTGACCTGATGATCTTCCAAATTTTATTGCCCAACAGAAGGTTTTAGCGAGAAGTGAGGCGTTGCTGATCAAATCAAACCAGCCCCATAACCAAAACAGTTGAAGCAAACAGTTTGGTTATTCTGATATCGGTCATGTGACTTTCAGAAATCAAGCAATTGATGTCTGTCCAACTTTTTTCTACTCTATTTATATAACTTGCATGTTTTAGTGCGCAAATGAAGAATGTAAGAGAAATGTCAGGGTACGGCGGTATGTGTCTTCTGTCAGTCCTTATGGGATTGTACCACGGCTTGCGTAGCGCGCGGCCGTGCCACCCGAGGTTGCAGTTCTGAATATATTCCTTGAGATAATTCCTTTTTGCTCTACCAAAAACCCATTTCCCGATCACCCACTGCAAATTGGCTAATTCCGGCCACAGTTCTGAAGCATCCGCGGTCAAGGATATAACGATGTCAACTCGTCGTCAACTCCAATTAACTAAGTCTCAACCGTAAAACAATGCAGTTCGCATTGTAGTCTGATGCATGCGCCCACCGAAATCCAGTGATATGCGCCTTAACTAAACAGGTGGCGCCAGTTAGCAAGCGCATTCCCAGCCGTTTAGATTCGTACATTGACTTCATCCGTCACACTACTGTCAGAACTAATGCAACTCCCGAGTTGCGTATAGTGCCTCGCTAGTTCCCCGATTCCTTAAGAGCATGTCCATAGACTTCGTCCCAAAGCATCTGTGGTTGCATCGCATATGTTTGGATAACTGAACCACCCTGCTTAGCTTTTCCAGTGATGTTTGAGTTTCATGTGCCTATTCGAATATGAGAACAATATCGTGTGCGTATTCGAAATGGACAAGATATCCGCTCGGGAGATCCGAATACTTCCAGATTTTGTCTCACTGTTTCATCAGTGAAGGAATTAAACGAAAATGGACAATAATCGCCCTTGTCGGGTACCACTACTTGTAGAAATGCTTTCAAACAATTCTCGCACACCCACAAATATGTGAAAACAAAGGCTGTATGATATTCGCAAACCTTTCTGCGCATGCTAGCTCGAAGTAGTTCAGTGTTTAAGGTGTAAACTTACGTCGTCCGAACCCAACCTTAACCCCTTGACTCTCTTGTCTAAGCTTGGGCTCGAGTTTTCTGAACAGTTGGAAAGGCTGTCTTCCTGTTGATGGTGATGATGGATTTCTATATTCTCTCACGATTAGTAAACTTACTAAAGGTATGCGATTCATTTGAATGGGGTTTGTAAACGTGTACCTTTAATTGCTCTATTCTTTGCATGAATGACCCACCTAAAGACCGTTTCCATTCTTTCTGACTTTTTGTGGTGCGTTTTCGCAGTATGCTAAGACGAACACTATATCCAACTCTAATACCTTGATAAACCCAATCGGATTCATCAGTTTCGCGTTTTTATTCTACTGAACATCAGTAACTTTGTTAGAATGTACGAAAACAACCAGTTCGCCAACCGTCCTTCGGGCGTCTTATTTTGGTACAGAAGACAGTGGTCCGATTGTCGGTTGCAGGTCAAAGCACACATATACTACCTGCCTACTTATTATGTCCAAGTAGCCGAGATTTAGTGGTCTGTGGCGCTTTATCGTAAAACAGTGAAGGACACGCATTTCGGTCCACACATTAAAAAACCAACCCAATTAACTGATGTGAATAAAATTAGATATTATATAGTTCCTTCCCGGACAAAGCCAGATTAAGATGAGGAAGGTTGGGTGTTGCTAGTCGTTAGCACAAGTTTTTAGTCCATAAACGACGCACCCGAACTGTTTTGGGTCTCTTGCGAGTTGAACAAACGAAGGTGGGACTAAGTGACTGCATTAAAATCAGTTTTGCTGGTGTGTACATTTTAAGAAACACCTAGGGTGTGCAGAAGCAATCGTTTTTGTTGCATTCATCCTTCCTTATGACATGGTACTTTGTTAACAAGTCCGCTGTCAGGTTTGGCTTCCGCCACGATACAAAGGTGGGTCGATCCCATGGCCTGACAGTCGAACCTTTATCCCGTTTGGTATCATCCGTCATCTGCCAAACAAGAACATATTCCAGACCCTAAACTCACCGATAAAAACACTTCTTAGTTTTGTTTCTCTTTTGTTGACATTACCCAGTGACAGTTCTTTGGAGAAAACTACTCTTGCTGGTGGAATGACTGAACTCTTTCATCTCGCACCGTGTAACTCCAAAAAGGGTTTTGTGTTCTTTAACATAAGAGATGACTCTCCATGTGCCTACAACTCCCTTTTGTAGTCTCAGTACAACGAGTGGGTGTCAGTCGCGTTCGTACTGTCTGTAGAATGGAGCATCGCGCATGTACAAAAAGCTTTACTTTCAGCAATGATGATGATCATGGCCGAACATTTCGTACTACTTTCCACCTTCTATTCAAGGGTCTCGATCGTCTCCAATGCCTTCAACCAGCTCGCATGAAGATATTCTAAAGGCTCCGACCATGGTGTTCACGGGAAGCTCCTCTGATATCGACAGTGGTATGTTATCTGAGCACTCAGCCGTGGCTTCCATAACCGGACAGGTTCATCATGTCATGATAGCATCCGAAACCTTTGGGACAACACCCGCGTTTGTCCCGCTTCCGCAGCCACTCAGTGGACCACTACCTCTGCACAAATGCCCCAGGAGTACTTTATCGCCCGTAAGTTGTCGGTGATGCGTGACATCATTTTCTATCAGTCTGTGTATTGATAGTCGGTATTTTTGTGGAAACTTTCCGAATTGTTTGTTCCTTGTGGGGAAGTTTTTTGCTTCTTGAGCCGAAAATGTGCGAGATGCAGCGTAGAAATCCAATCCCCCATGGTTCGATTGCGAAAACAATCTACCGCACAATGGGCTAGTGAGTTGCGGGAAGTCTGTTTGCCCATCATGTGATTACAATGCACAAATTGACCAAGACGTTTGAATATATTTTAAGATCTCGGTGGAAAGCACAAATAGAGTGATTTTTATAGTTAATGAACGTTGATTGCCAGCAGGCTTACGCATACTGTTGTCTGCATCCTCTCTAATTTGACACTTATTCATTAGTGCTTCGCTCCAACTGGTAGGCATAGCTTTGCGATTCCACCATTAACCATGTTTAATTCCCTGCTTAGGAAAGTTGACTGCGTGGGATGGCGTCGCTTTCTCGCAGTTCTGAATTTCACCATTCTTTGGAACGCACGATTGCAAAACTGTTGTGCTTAGGTGCTGAACTTTACTAAAAAAACTGTTGTATGTAAAGGAATGCTTTGTGGTTCATAGAAGACCAGTATTTTGCTGTATCATGATGAGACGTTTCTACTGAATAAGGTGTTTTGCTCATCGCTTTTGCTTTTCTTGTTCCAGTTCGTCCCGTTTATTGTGGAGCTCTGTGTGACCTTGGTCGAGCGCTATGGCCTGAATTGTGTTGGTCTCTACCGGCTGTCAGGAAGCAAAACCGCCCATGATTTCATTTCATTGGAGCTAAGGAAGGTACACACCTTTCTCTCTGATGCTCCTTTTTTACCTGGCTCCTACGTGGGTTTTGGTTGCATTTCCCAAACTGTTTTTCGGCCCAAGACTTGTTTTTGTTCCGCTTTACTTGTCTGCCAAAAAAGATCACGCGACTCCGCGTTTCGGTCCATTGACTTTGTTTTTCATTTTCAATACATCCTACTTATTTGCTGCGCTGCGGCTTATTCACATACCACCCGTATTCCTCTTTCACCTACCTGCGCTCTTTCAATGAATCATCCGATCTGGTAATGGTATCGCTATTCTACGTGTCGTACCACAAGAATCAAACTATCTATCCCAATTTTCGGTTTTACCTTTGGTAATTTCATCGAAGTTAATTCACCCTCCTAACTTCTGAAGACCCACTCCTATAGAATCTCGGAAATTCCGCTCACCATGAACACTTCTAAGTACAGGCCTCCTTGGAACCAAGCAAATTGTTGGCCTATTCGGCCGAATTATTTTTTGGAATTGGATCGAAGCTGGTGAACCATTTATGCTCGCGACATCGGTCTCCCCATAGACTTGGTGCAGTTTTTCACTTTAACGGATTTAGTTTCAATCTTTTCGTTCTCTTCCGTGTCTATCTCACTGGAACCAGACTGAAAACAGGCCGCTTCATGTTTCAGTTAATACGATATTCCAGATATCGGAGTATATTTTCTTGCCGGAGCATACTACTCATACTGTTGCTGGAAACTCTGACAACTGACGACCGGTTTCACCCTTCTTGGGACTCGTCCGGTAGGAGTATTCCCCTAGTTTCCGTCAACTTCATGTTGTTTTACTTGAACCCAAGTTGGGCGCAATTAGCGAACTACTCTCATTTGCTAGCCAATTTCAACACTTATGGTGTTCTTCAAGTGAATGTGCTGCACAAAGGCGGTCTCTCATTTCGGTTGCTAAGGTATTCAAAATATCACACTATGTATTTTTTGCCGGAAGACTACTCCAACTTGTTTTGAGAATGGGTGTATTTCGTGAAAACTGCACCTACTTGACGAACCCGAAAGGGGGCGAAATCGGTCGTGGGGTTTCAAGGAGTTTTCAGCAACCTTATGGGTAGTGTGTTGCGTCCACAGTCCTACAGGTCTAATTAGTCCAGTTCAAACTGTCTACTCTCTCGACTAATAATGCAGTGATATATATTTCCAGTTTGTGGTGCAGTTTCAGTTGAATATTATAGCTTAGCTCCAGCCAATGAAATCGAATCACCGGTGTCCAATATTGAGTTTACTGTCGATGATGATTGGTCTTCACCCATCCCGATGTTTTTGAAGCCTGAGGTCACCATAAAAGTCCTATATCATTAATTCGAGGCATTCAGACAAGGAAGTTCTCTACCTATTCCATACCACATCGAGCTTGGTTATGGGGACTACGATGTGTGCCACTTATCACTTCTCTCTTTTCTGATCCAACCGAGATCCGAAAGGCTGATCACATTCTTTGTGTTTTTTGTCAGCCGTTGCAAGAAATCGATATTCAGTCTGACAAGTGGAACGATATTCACGCAATCTGTGGCGTTCTCAAGACATTTCTGCGCACACTTCCGGATTCTCTCTTCCCCAAAGGTATGTAGTCGTCGCCGTACATATTCAACTATCTCGTATTGTCGGTGTCTTGTGCACCGTTTTCCGTCCTTTATTTTGGGAGTTTTTTAACTTTGACTCAACAGCATCTGTTGACCGTACACAAATTGTGAATAGTCCCAGCTACCTCACTTCCTTCGACAGATGAATAATCGCCTGGCAGAACTGTGCACGGGGTTTAAGGCTCGAAGCACTCAAGTTTGGATCCAGTTGTGGCGGTCCAACTGCACTTTGAACTCCACCTTGGGCTAGAGAACACTATCAACGAGTCTCTATAAACTCTGTTAAACACCGCTTCCAATTAATTACTGAACAAGTCAACCAACCTCTCACTGCCCACAGCATCAGTAATGGAATGTTCCTATTCAATGCTTCATCATCGCCTGACTCATGCCTCGAGTTAACACTTTCAATACACAACTCTTCCATGTTTGTATCCTCGCCGTCAACCGGTAAAATCCTAACGTCCGAACCACTATACCCGACATGCCTCTTCAATTCTATCTTCTTTGTCCTTCGTTTTTTAGTCATGTACACTGATTTCTTGAATGCCTGTCGTATTCCCGACCGCGAGAAGCGCCTGTTATCCATCCAGCGGCTTCTGGGGATCATGGAATGCTATCCGGACCACCCAGAGTACCGAGCTCACCGGGCAACTCTACGTTATCTAGCCACGCATTTGGCGCGCGTGAGTGCCCGAGAAACGGTGAACAAAATGACCATCTACAATTTGGCCCTCGTATTCGCTCCGAACTTGGTTCAGCCACGTGAAGAAACTCCGGAGTTGCTGATGAGTGATTCCAAATACAAGATTATGGTATGTCCTTTCTCTGATAATGGCCATACATTTTTCCGGGACCGACTCGTACAGTCAATTTCGGACGATCCAGCAGTCGTATGCACCAGATCTCTCAGTTTTTTCCATACACGAGCGCAGTTTTTTTGTGGCGATAGACTTTTAAGTTGTTCTCCCAAACCATCCTCAAGTCAGTGCCCATCTTTATTCCGTGTTTCTGTCCAACGGGCTACTTTCCTCACAGGCCAAAGCAGCACGAAAAAGGGTATCATCTGCCTTTCCCCTGGGATATTTCACACTACTTCCTGGCTAAAGGGAAAATTATCGTGGACTCTCTAGCAGGGTGGCATTTTTGGGGGGAGAGCTCACTGCTGACCCTTTATCTTGCTGGACATAAAAGTTACTCGTCACTGGGGAGCTCGGGTAGCGAGGGTAAGCAAAGCAGCAGCTCCCCTCTCAAGTTATTTCTGACTTTCCCTATTCGTAGTGTATTTTTCACATCTTTTTTCAAGTACTTTGAAAACTTTTTGTGCAGTCCATCATCTTGATCATCATCAGCGATACACCAGTAATAAATCGTGACGCTCAAGTGCCATACAACTATAAGAAGGAATATCCTGGTAGAGAGTGGAAAGAAAGGAAGAAAGCGGAGACTTATCACGAACAGCCTTATGTTACAATGCAAAGTGATCAAGAACAAGATACGTGCATCTTGGAACAGCAGCAAGCTAAACGCATGTCAGCATCATACAGAAGTAATACACTCTGACTGGGATTGATCCGGTTTACTTCGTGAGCCTTCCTTTGAGCCTACCACAAAGCAACGAACAAACTTCAGCTGGACAGTCGGACTAGGAAGTGACGTCACGATCGATACTGGAATTAGTTACATGCCAAGCCCATTGAGGTCCATAACCGTGTGCCGCGAGGCTCGACCAAGAAGGTGCGAAGGCCCCACGACACTTAGTTGTACGACAGAACGGTTCTTTGAGATTGTGCGACATTAGGCCCAATCAATAGCATGCCTGCGTACGTTTACTCCACTTACATTAACTAAGACGATTGATGAACTCGATTTGGTCATCGAATCGGTGGAATTATCCTCATGAAGAAAACAGCTTAACCACAATGCACTTTGTCATTTAGCCGGATATGCAGGTCAGTTGTTACGAATCATCTCCAAATCACCGGTACACCACCGATTTTTTTGGATTTAGTTTGTCAGTATTTTTCCGTAAAAAAAGCATTCTCGAAAATGTAGCACAATCGCATTGTTTCCAAACCATAGAAGATAAGGCAAAGCAATACACGATAGCTCGTTTCTAGGAATTTTCCGATGCAGTTTCGCAAACGTTTGAAATCGCGTTAGTGGGAATGGTGCAAATCTTGTGAAGGTCACTGTCACACATCTCAAAGCTAGTCGTCATAATCGGAAGGAGTTTTTTGGAAACTCTCGTTTACTGAACCAAATTTGAAAATTTTTGCAGATAAGCTATTCAAAAAACGAGACCAAAATCTATGCGCACCCAATAGTATGAATCCAAACTATGCCCGGATAAGTAGAGTGTACGGCCTATCCCGATTTGTAACCGTGCTCTCAAATTGTTGCACAAACATACAGACACCATCCCTTCATAAAGCGATTCCGTGGTCTGCACCCCCTATTTGGGCAGCTGCGCATTCCAAACGCTGGCTCTGGATCATTCGTGGGCGTGGATTAATGGATTATGACATGAGATGGTCTGAAAGAACTGACAAAATGTCATTTGCCTCACGTAGTTGGCGTTTCAACACGGTGTCGTGACATAACGAATGAAAAGCAGGCTAACGAATGCACCAGAACTTCATTTCTGTACAGGAGACGTGTGTCCAAAAAATATGCCTAAATTCAGTCGTTGTACGGATTGGAGTAGTGGTGTCAATGCGACATTTTCCATTGTATTTCGGAATGTTCCTCTGAAAGTGTCAATCGGAGATGTGGCTGTAAGCGGAGAAGAGTATAAGTATCTCATTACTATAAGCAAGTGCTTTCAGTCCTTTTCTATCAACATGTCAATCAGTCATCTCTCACTATCCGTCACTCCAGTTGGTCGAAACGGTCATCAAATATCACTCGTGGATTTTCTCTCCCGATTTGGGTATCGAAAGTGGTTGCTCCATTCCAACCGACTCGGTCGAGGAGTTACCTTCAGCCATAACTGATTTAGAAACAACGATGATGCGCGGTTCAACAGAATGCGGACCTCTGCTTATTCCCACCAACAGCATGGAAGGTGAGGAATCAGCCAATCAACCGGGTCGAGTTGAAGGTTAGTTCATGTTCACCGTCACTACTCCACCTTGTTCACATTCCTATGAACCGGTTGGTCGTTGGTTGTGCACGGCCACCAACCCATCTCTGCTCACCACCACGCTCCATAGCAACACACTGATGATGTCATGTCGATTGGTAATGAAACGTTTGCAATCAAACTACCCAGTTCAGCGAACAAACCAACGACCATCTACGCTACCTGATCTACCAAGATTTTCCTCCATTGAAAATGCTGTGTTGTGTTAGAACAGATGGCGTCGCGATCAACGCACGAAAAAATACGGTAAACAGGAGTGTCAAAATGCAGTTCGGTTATATCAACTACTTAAAACATAGAGTTATATTAGTTCGCTATAGTCGCTTGGGGGTGAAATTTTCAGGTAGCCAACACGGAATCAAGGCTAATCGCATGACTAAGAACCATGGTACCGCTGATACTTGCTTGCAAGGCTAGAGATGTTGTTGCTGACCGAACCACTCAAAGCGGATTTCTCTGTTCGATGGTGGGCGTCTCAGCAGTTTTCCTTCCTTCGTGTTTTCTTTCACACATGCATCTTCGCTTACTAGATTAGATCTGCGGTCGACCAAAGCGGCTTGTCTATGCTTGTTGATTGCCATGGGAAAATAAGCAGTTGTCCCCCCAGCCTCTGTTAATTCGTGTGCTAGAGGCTTGTTTTTGTTCATAGCCCTTGATAAGACCTTGGTTACACTGCTGTAATGAAACTAAGCGTCTGGTGAATTCAAAAGACCTCAGTAGTGAGCTGAGATTCATGTCCAAAAGGTCTTGGTTTTTTCCCATGGAGAGAAGTATGTGTACGTAATTCTGCATTATATCGTATTACATTATTATAATTGGTATATGTCATATATAATTATATAATGTAATGTTATATTATATAATTCCCTACCACAACTCACTACTACGAGGCTGCGAAAAACAGAACCCACTCGCGGTTTCACCCTTCTTGGAGCCCATGAGATGAGCATCGACCTCGAATTTCGACTAGCCCTATATTCTACTTTAAGGCAATTAACGAAGTAACCTCACTTGCAAATCACACTGGTATTAGCGAGAGACTCCGGTTTGTGGCATTTTTCAACTGAATGTGGCACCAAGACCGCCTCTTGTTTCAGTCGGCACTATATCCGAGCTCCCGTAATGCTTGTTCTTGGCACTACTTCAACTTCACTTATCCTGCCTGTCTCGCTCTTTACATGATAAGAACGGACAAAGTCAACTACCTACTGGGAAATTGTCAAATGAAGAGAGCTCAAACTACAAGAATCGAACCTAATACTATCGCACCCACGAAAAACACCAGCACAAACCGCTTGAGTAAATCTATCCCTTTATTTTCCTTTATTCTACACTTCTACACAGGTGACGTTCAGCCTTTATTGGCCAAACTTCTCAACGCAGCTGCCGGTCTCCCACCACCTCCTTCTGGCACGGATTTGGAAACCGCGGTCGAACCTGGCCCCGAATCTGATCGTCCATCGGATATTGCCTTGCCTATTCATCGACGTCGATTCACTTCGATCCCAACTAGCACATGGTCTGCGGCGGCACTCCGCTCACTTGACCCCGACGCTTCTATTGAAGGAAGACGTTTCCAACCGGAATTACTTCTCACTCAAGAGACCGAATTCGATGCGGCTTCTGAACCCAGTGATAATGACCCATCTTGTGATATCACACCATTGACGTACGTCCTATCTCTCCATCCTGTTTTTTTCATTGTCTGAGTTACGAAAAGACGACTCTTTTGAGTCTACGGTTAAATCACTTTTCTCGCCATTGATTTCAGGGATCTCTCTCCACGCCCGCGGCAATTCAGCTCGCAACTTGGAACAAAATTAGACAGTGAGTCACTGGAAGAGTCGTGCAGTTTCCGCTCTAGTTTTTGACTTGACTGCCATCAAACCGATCGATCCATCTTTTCATCCTTTGTAGACTTGCGGCACCTCAGTCAGGGTTGCTTGGATCAGTACACCAACGAAGCTCGTCAGCTTGGCGAACGAGTTGCCGAGAGCCGTCGTCAACTGCAAATCATAGTCACACAACGTTTGCACGCGGAACAGTTGCTCCACGAAGCTCGGAATCAAAGGGGTGATCAAACTGCGGGTTCGGATCTGGGTTCCCCGAACCAATCCACCCCATCCACAAATGTTCAAGATTTCACTTACCTGGACACACAAGAGGAGCAACAACCGAGTGAATCTGGTGAGTTTGCAATGGAACTTTGCAGCTCTCTTCGTTCAGGCGCGTAGTATTCTTGCTTTCCACATCGCTGTTCAAAAGTATCCATCAAAAATAGATGCTTGTTGATTGGATATGTGTTCTTATATTTAAAACAAACAAACGAGTGCTAGGCACAATGATAAGCAAGGAACGTTCCGGCTACACCTAGTGGTGGGGATTACGGAAAACGTATATCTGTGTGCACTTCTTTGTAAATAGAATATTCGGTGTTTTGGCACAGTTCGGTTGAAGAAGTGGCCTGTAAATGAGCTTGATTCACCAACATCACCATCGACAATGTAACTTTAGTGTTCAACACTGACGCTTGGCTGTGATACAACCATGAGTTATTTTGAAGCGTTATTGTGAGGAAAAGAATAAAAGTGGATGGGTAAGAGACCACAATCATTCCGGGTGCCCACGCCTCCAGACCCTCATTCAGACAATCTGGATAGAAACTGACAACACCAACGTCATTGATATAGATTAGCAGCCATATCTTGCAACATCTCCAACAAGACCCAGTGAGGATCATGTGGTCTCAATCATGGAAGGTGATTTGCACCGAAAGTACCCAGACTTTCCGTAATTTCTTCCACACCCCTGTGCCAGATCAATTCCTTTCGAGTAGTCTCACTGTTTGTAGGCTGGCCCTCTATGAAGTGACGGCTTCCCTGTACAGAGAAGTACAGGTATCTACCATGTGTTAGCTGCTAGATTTCACAGCCTATGAGTAGGACTGAGGAGGATGAGAGCTTTCAGCGAAAGGAGTGACTTAGTGAAATGTGAGCAGTGATATTTGGATCAGTTTGAGTTCCTGCCCTTCGAAAGAACCGAAAAACGGCGTGTAAACAGTACAAACTGATAAGAGACACATAAGAACAAACAAGTTTATGAGTGGAACTGAGCACTTTTAAAGTGATGTCGTTTTTTCTCGGATTGAAGAAACTAGTTTCCTAAGCTTTGGGAAAACCGATTCAGCACGCGCAGTCCAACACAGTGTAAAGGGTGTGTGCACTCCAGCATACTCGCAGCTATCGACAGTCGGATATTTGTGTTCTCAGTTGAGGAAGAGCTCTATCAAACTTGTCCGGCAAGTAGAAACGGAAAGTCAACAGGAAAGTATCATTTGAAGGCAATTAGGGAAGTTTAGTAACTCGAGTTCATTGGAGGAGGTCAAATGCTCATCAAGTAACCTGAGTAAACTCACTCACACCCGTTTTTGATTTCTTAGCTCACAGCCCAATGGGACCCGGTTTAGTCGACTAGTCTAAAAACGATACTGGTCTCGGTCTCATTGAGCATCGCGCACCTTCTGTGCTTAACGAAAAAGACTCCGGTACTAAGCGCGCAACTCAGGTGAAACTGCGCTGACATGAAGCAAGGGATTGTTTGTTAGTTCAAAACACAGTATCTTCTATTTGTGTTCGTATCACCGAATAAGCCATAATAGCATGTCGTCTGCAAAAATTTTGAGAATATTCTATGAGGTCGCGGTGTCGTTGTCATCATTGGTTGTAAACGACATACAAATCTTACGCCAGTTTTTGTTACCACACTTCTCCATGAAGTAGGAAGGGAAGTAGGAAACGCTAGAAGTGAAAACTTGATGCAATGCCGTAATGCTTCAATGAGGCTGATTCATTGGTCACAAACTTGTTTCAGTATCAGTAAGAAATATTGCGCTGGAATAGCTATATGTCACAGACCCGACGCAGTGTCCCAAATAACTTTTGTGGCCAATCCTGACTTCTCACTCCGGGGGATAGCACCTGGCGGCGCAGTTGAGTTTACCAGTTAGCGTTTTCTTCCTTCGCCAATAGAGCAAACCCTAACTTAATCTAGATCATGGCTTCCCTGCATGTGGTTGGAAGAAAGGAGTTCTTCATGCGACCTAGCCAGTGCATACTGTGATCGATCACATAAGTATCGTTTCTTTCCCCCGAAAATCCTTCGAATTACTTCGGCGTCACTGTTCACCTGTTCCCACTCGAACAGGCATTCGCAGACCGCTGGTCAACTGCCGAGAGTTTCGCGAGAGCTATTTTCTTCAGCTTATGGAGCTCGCGATTCGGGGTTGGCGCAGCTTCACATTGGAGTTACTTACCATAAGAAATGAATGTGGTCCTGTTTCTGAAAAATTTAGCCACATGCTAATACAAAGCCAATGTCTCAATCATTCTTTTCTGAAGTAGTCGATTCAACTCCACTCAAACTAGTCTAAATTGCCTTGACAACATCTAGGCACACTTCATAAGTGATTCGCGTGCGCGACCATTTGCGGGCACGTTGTTTAAGCTGTTGACAATCCCGCATCTTGACGCGTAGTTTTCAATTACCTACTACTCCATGTGATAGGTGGAACTCTTGCAGAGCACACGTTCCTCTAACCATTCAGTCCTTGCTGAAATTGACAACGTAATTACTGTGCCGTCTTTCCAAGACCCTTCAGCTGACAGAAGATAGGGTAAGCTCGTGTTCGTGCACATCCACACGTTGCTATGTCTACAATCTGCATGCTATCGTCTGTGGTTTGTACCACCCCACTACCTTCCTCCTGTTAATGGCGTGGTTGTTTATGTCACTTTGTGTTCGTGTTTAGATATGATTCCTCGCTGACTTTTTTGGCTCGATTATAGTTGTTTGTCCGTCACATGATTCGGCACCACCGTGTTGCTCTGTTCACTGCCCGTTTCGATCGTGCTGTGATATTTTTGGCCAGACTTGAAAAGCGAAAATTCCATTTCCCCATGTCCTTTGGTTATCTCGTTGTCCGTCTAACTTGATTCGTGACAGCACTGCACAGCATGTTGAATTATTCAGTGTATCTATCGCTCGAGTTCAGTGCATGTACACCGATCCACCTTGCATGCTTTCTTTTCTTCAACTGCACATCCCCGCGTATCCCCGACCAGTACTCCTCGTTATTTTTGTATTGCTCACACTCAGGATTTTTGAAAGATGAATGGTTTTTCCTCAAGGTCACCTACCTTGAGTGAACGTGTGTGGGACAACCAGCTTAGCCCGTAGACCAGTAACTTAATTAGATTGATCGATACAACCTACTGAATAAACCTGTTTGAATCAGTTGGCGTAGTTCGTCACTTATCGTTGAAGAAAATATTGGTGTCTCAGGTTGTTGCTTTCTTCACTCAACTAGACAGTAAGTTGGGTTGTGAACGTTCCTCACCAACTGGAATGACATCATCGATGTGTCTTTGGGAAGTGAAACTGTTCGATGCGTCGGTGGAAACATTTTCTTCTAGGTACCGACCATTCATGAATGGTTGTTCGCATAGGTCATGTCCATTCTGATTAGTGTACGTCCACGTGATCTTTAACCTTGTCTTTTACGATACCCTTTCGATGGTCGACACTTCGGTGGACTCTACGATTGATGATGAAACCCGATTGCCCAGTCCATAGAACAAAACAATGACCAGTCATCACGTACCACCCAATCAATCCAATGTCTTCCTTCAACTAGAGTCCAAGACAGCTAAAGCGATTGCGATTCACTCTGTGAGTTTTCTCCATACAAACATAATGAAATGAACACCAGGGACTACTTTCGACCTCGCCGATCCGAAAATTAAGTTGCCCTTGACAGTAGATTCAACGGAATCTCGAACCTCTACGTCATAGCGTTGCCTTATTTCATGCAAATACTTCGATATTTCGTAATCGTTCATCGCTGATCCTAGAAACTAAATTATAAATGGACATACTTGGGGGACTTGAAACTTAAACAAGACTAGATCTCTTCCAAAAATTAAACGAGTCAACTCGCGAACCGTTTGATTCTCCCAATGAGGACTTTCAACTTGAAGCTACCACTTTAACTTGGCCCTAATCGGGGGAATTAATGTACCCGTATATATTGGTATTGCCCGGTGTAAGTAGTCTATGCAACCATCGTACGCAACTTTCAAGTGGATTTATACCCCTTATAGCTCAGGGACTACCTGCTATGGGATAAATAGTAGACACGAAAGGAATCTCACTTGCTTTTGGCTTGCTTGTCTCCCATAGTGTTACTTACTCTCGTTCAGTCCCGTTCATAACTTCACTGATTTCTCCCTCCCCCCACTGCTCAGCTACCGTTGTTCAAGCGATCACCATCCGTCTTATCCTTCATTTGGATTTCCACCTTGTCCTTCCATTGTGCCAATGCTGTGTCAGTCTCACTTGATTGCGTCTTGCGTGCCAGATACAAAACCACCAGTATGTCCCCGGGCACGAAGGGGGCATGACAGCTGTCGAGGACGATGCTGCACTCTGTCCAAGCTCCAGGTCTTTTCCAACCTCGAATTGACTTGATCAATGAAAACAGATGATCATGTCATCTTTTATTCGCGTTGATGACACGCGTTTTTTTCTTGTTGATCTTGCCTGCACCCCAAACCAAGCACCTTTCATCTGTCTTTCATTCTACCAAACATGCTGAGAAAATAACGAATCTATTTCTCTCTGATCACTATGGTAACCTCAACCTGTGGACAACTTGCAGAAGAACAATCAAACCTCCCGGGTATTTCCAACCAGTACAGTCTCCTCGGTTTCTTTTATGTTACGATACTGAACTTCTAAAAATCTCCACTCTAGTCTAACCTTTACTCTTTTTGTCCGGTTCTCGTGATTAAATTGCTCTTACGCCTGTATATTGTCTCCGCTAATTTCCCCTATTGATCCGCTTACTTTGGTCAGGCGATCTGTGCGCATCCTTCAATTGGATTGTGCGCGCACATGTCTAGTTAGGCTACAAGACGGTTTCGTAATCACATCGCTCTCACCCTTATCCGCGTTGCTTCCATATTTCTGTGAGTACATGTTAGTGAAAGCGAACAAAAAAAGAGTTCGGCGGGATGATAATTTTGCTGTTTTCATTCTTTTCTCTGGTTTGTTCAATTGACTAGTCATTCTTTGCATAATTATCAGATGGTAATTTTTTCCGTTTCTCACCCTCTTACTGACTTCTCCATTTTTCCTGTTAGCCCCACTGGTTGGTATTTAAGTTGGAAATTATTGATTTTTATCTGATTTCATTTGCGCCCCTGACGTATCTCTTGTCTGGTTCACTTCCAGAGGTTCTATTTTTGTAATATTAGTTACGCAAAACACAAACTCTATCGATTGATTGACTTCAGGGCATTGTTTCTTGCCGTTTGAAGCACCAATCGATACTGTGTGGACACTTGCTTTGGTGGTCACTCGTTCTCCGCGCTTCCACGCGCGCGTTACTTGCATGCTTTTAAAAACCGTGTATTTGAATCTACAACTTTTACCGATTGAGTACACTGTGTGCGCCAGTCCCTTTTTACCACCCCCTCGCCACCGCCACCAGTTGCGCCGCACCCCTCTCCTTAATCATGTACCCCTCTTTGATTAAAAAGTATACATACGGATCTGCGATAAAGGTAATTTGAAACTAACGTTGCAATTTTGCTTGGTGCCAATTTCTGGGCTTCGAAATACAATCAAAAATCTCAGTCAGAAGAGTCAACCATCAATCAGGACGGTTATTGAATCGTGTTCCGTGGGGCTATCACAGTCGATGCGCCTAAGTAAGGAGTGGCGCACAGTGTTCCAAGATATACTGGGCACTTCTTTCGCTATTCGTTATTCACTTTGGGTTGAGGGTGACCGCGTAATGTGGGCGATGGATTTCACCAGTTCGGAATAAACGCTTTTGATGAAAGACGACAGCTTGAGGATAGATGCTTTGGACTAGTGGTCGGTGCGCTTTCTTGTATCGAGGAATTGGATGGAAGAGACGATACACTCACATGGGACCGTCTGATATTCATTATATAAATTAGGATAATGTTTTGTCGTGGTCGGAATTCCCGCCCCAGGGAGCGTCGTTACTAACCCTCGAGAAGCATTCGTATCGTCAAATGCGACTAAGGAGTCCAACACGCTTCTATGAAGTCGTCAGTGTTATTTTCCTGTGCACCGACGGCTCGGTTTTTGTTCAGTCGATATTATCGGATCACTAATGGCATGTTAAAACATCTACACATAAGGTGGAAACTTCCTATCAGGTCAGTCCGAAGTTTACTGTCCGGTGCAGCAACTTCCACTGCTTTTTTGAAATGCATTCGAGCGATAGGGAGATGTATATCTCACGTTCTAACGGATGTCATGACCAATGAACCTCACACGAAACTGCGAGCAGTGGAGTTCTCACGGTTGTCTACGAATTGGTGCGAAGTGAACAAAGCCTTGGGAGTGAATCCGAAAACATATCGTTTGTAAAACGCCTGCTATTTGGATAAATTAATAGCATGGAACGGAATGACGTGAAGGCATGCAAAACTGATGCGAAACTTGTCAGTTTGTGATTAGGCTTCTAACGAAATAATTATTCACTCATGGGTAGATAAAGAAGCGCGTGGTTACGTAGTTCCTAAAATGGCTCCAAGTTTACACAGTGGTCGAAACTGCGAACTCTCACTTTCCGGACGAGTGGTGTACCAACTAAGTTACCTGAAATATGATGCTCACATGCGCTCCGTCCTCGGTTCATACCATCCAGAAACCCATGGGATATGCGCCCTGAGCGGAAGTCGTGATAGCTTTAAATGGGATCCGGGATTCACAAAACAGACTAAAGTAGAGCTGTCAGGAACGGAACTTGAAACTACGACCCGCCCACAAACTGCCTGCTATCTGATACACTATCCCGACTCCAAATGAGTTGTTTCGGGAATCGAAAGCTTTAAAAGCAACACAGTGTTGCTTTAATTTCAGCAACTGACTGATTGACTGCATGTTGTGGCGGTGGCCACACCCAGAGAATAGTGTTTCACTGACAGGATTGTTCTTGGTACTGGACCAATGTGAACTGTATCGCGGATATTTTGCCGTCTACTAATGAAATTTGAGCTTTTCCGGTGTTCTGAACAACTTTGGTGGATGTATACGATGATATTTTCGAAATGGATACTCCTGATATCTAAACTCGTGACTGGGACATCAGTGCACCACGATGATCTTGTACAATGGTTGTCCGTTTTCTGGTTAAAAATGAATTAAGACGCTTTCTGTTTTATAGACGAACTCAAATAAACGCCGGAAGTCAGATAACTGATAGCGGGAATGCAAGAATAATTATTACCATTTGAATCCTGACGAGTCATCGTGCGGCGTTACACCATTTTTCCAGCCTCGTCATCCTGAATCCAAACGCATTCATGGTATTGATGCTGCCTCCGTATCCTGCACCACCGTCCTGAGGAACCTCGGCTCGACTGGTGGGTCAGAGCCCGTAACATCGGTCACTTCGATTCGGCTGCTGCCTCTTGGGAGGCAAGGGAGTGTCTCACCATCTTGATAGACTTTGCAAATCCCTGAAGTTCGCTAGGTTTGAAACTTGGGTTCACATGGGAGCCGAATTGTCTGACGAACCCCTTACATATCAAACGACTTATGCTTCTAATGATTCGATCGTCTACAACAGCGCACGTCCGCGGCAGCTCGTAACGTTTCTTCATCAGAGCAAGAAGGGACTGGGCATGTGAATGTCATCCAGAATAATCAGGGGGGAATTTCTTGATGTTTTTTTAATTAATCCGCCATTACTTTTATCTTGGCTTACAGCTATGAACAGAACTGTTCCGATTCTGAAATTCCATACAGATAACGATAGGAAAGATAATTTCATTGGATGTGTGAAACGTCATTTTGAGAAGCCAGCCGATGAAATAGTCAATACATGACCACGTTATGTGGTTTCCGATCAGCTGATCAGCCACTCTTGGCCAAACGGTTGAGTGTTCAACCACTGGCCGGAGTTTCGTGAAATGCGCACCGCTGATGATTCCCAAGAAGGATAAAATAGCTGCACAGTATTTCTCAGCTTTTCAGCATAGGTCGGTTTTACTGGCAGGATAAAATTGCTATTGAAAATAACGATCTGCTCTGGGTGTGGATTTTCGTTTTTGGCAGACCACTTTGCAGAAGTTTCTGTGGCCAGAGAGTCAATCTTCGTGTGAAAACATTCTGGCACAGCTTTGCAAGAATCTTAAAGCTTGTTGAAGGAAATTTAGAGATTATTTGATGTCAACATGAAACCGAGTTGCCATCCGTTTTTGTCAAATCACACTAAGGAGTTTGTCAGTATGTTCGATAAAAATTGGCAAGACGTTTAAAAATGAAATACAACAGAACCCCAATAATCCCCAGCCCCCACTTCATGTCTTTAAATAAACTGGTGTGGTGTTTGATGTTTCCTTTGGTAATGAGACATCGTGGGAGTACAAGCGGCCCATTTATTTGGAATTGTTTTGGAAATCGAAGGCATCCATCCGCTCTCTGTCGAAACGGCTGCTTGCCGCTTCCTATACGAACAACTGCGGTTGAGGGTAGCTGAACAAGGACAACAGGCCCATCTCTCAGGGGCACCATCAATTTCGTAGCACCCATACTTTGATTGCTGCGTTGTCCACATCACTAAACTAGACACGACCGAATCTGTGACAAGTAAGGTGAACGTCGAAGCATGAAACTACCTTGCGAGTATTTGTGTTAAGCGGGACAATGTGGAAGACGAGTGGTTATAGGAAAACATGGTGCTCAAGGAATGTGAACAGAATAATTCGAAAGTCAGTATGAAAACACCGTTGTTTTTGTGGGTGAGAAAATGCTTTATGCACATTTTGGTTCAGCGAGTCGACTTGCCTCCTCCTTGTCCATGTCGAACACTTAGGTTGCAGATGTAAGCGGTTACACTCTTTGACATGAAATACTACCTATAGAGTTACTGAAAGCTCTTAGACAGGGCACCACCAGTTTAGCCCTTCTTGGAGCTCAGCAGAAACTCCCCTGGATTCCATCCACATGATATTATAATTAAGCACCATATTCCATGCACTTAGAGAAGTACACTCACTCGCAATTTAACTCAATGATAATGGGAGACTCAATTGAATTCCATGGTTCGAACCCGACCTCTGTCTCTCGACTTCCCCCGTCTAGGCTTGAGCGACCTGGCGCAGTATCTCAGCCCTCGTGCCTCCTTCGTGTGGCATGGCAGCTAGGCACCGAAAGGGTGCTACAGCTGGACAATTAATGGAATCCCAACTGAATGCCTCGTTTAGCATATTGCTCAATGGAATATGCTCCACAAGGGTCGCCTCAAACTTCCCTTGGTACGATGCTTAGAGTATAGTGGTATATCTTCTTGAAATAGCGCACTGTCGTGAAGTGAAGATTCGTCTGGGATTCCGCACAGTCTACCGTCAAGGCCTAAAAGATTTGCAACTGGGGGTATTTAGCCAGACGGTTACAATCCCTCCGGCCGTTGTTTGATCCGTGTATGAATTTCGATCTTAGCCGCTTCCTCAACTTAATTTGACTTCTCGAGATTTTCGCTTTCATGTATGCGAACCTCTAGTTCTGTTACCTATGTCACTGGTTTTCCGGACGGCTGTTTTGGATTAAGTAACACGGCCGATCGTTTCAGATGACTTCCCAGTCGGTCCCAAACATTTTCCAATTGACTGAAAATACCATGGTTGATGTTACCTAAACTCCAATAGGCTGGTAGCTGTTGAATGAGCGTAATTGGCTTCAAATCCGGAGGCTCCTTCGAGAAAACGTCAGCTTTGGGCAATGAGAATTGTGATCTAACATTTGGGTCAGTTTGACTCTGGATGAACACCTACATTGTGCGAACAACTAAGAGTAACCGGGTGGGATGGTTAAGAATTCGCCCGAATGGATAACGCATTGTCGAGTTCGTGGGATTCAATGTGCATCGACGCTTGACGCGACATTACGTGGTCATACTGGGTACCATTCATCCTCAAGAAAATACGGATTATGACAGGCCAGTGTCCTATGAGACCTGGAGTGTAATAGGCACTGGGTCACTTTTGCAACTCGATTTCCGTCCGACGGTGCTGAGTGCAAGCTTTTGCTTAACTAATACTACTTCAAGCTACTTAAAAGCGTAAAGTAGCCAAAATTGAGCGCCAGAATCCCTCATCGCTAGGCCAAGGATCAACAAGTATGGGCGAGGACAAAGAGAATTTGAAGGAGTGACTTCGGTTTTAAGTGGGGCAAGAGTTTCAGATTACGGTATTTACAACGCTCCAAAAAGTTTTGCCTTCATAGTTATAGTGTGCAGAGATCGCCGGGCTACTAATTCCAAGTGATAAGATATCCATCATTGCTAGACCTGTTATACATTACTCGGCAATCGTGAACGGCTAGTTTGAATATCACCTTCGTTTACTAACTAAGCTTGAGTTTCACTGCAGCCTAGTCAAACTGTGGATCTGTATGCAGCCAAACGAGACCACCATAGCCATATTCCAAAGGTTGGTCATCACCGCTCATGATGGGTAGGGGACTCCCCAGACGTAGATGAGAAGGTACCTCCCACGTCACGTGAAACTATTAAAATAATTTATTCTAATGATTAAAAGGTCCCTGTTGTCGTAATACTATATTATTTAAATCTCGAAATAAAAGCTAAGTCAGGATGTCATTCGACCCAGTGTGATATGGATACTTGGGGCGAGATGGCCCAAGCACGTGAAACTAATAATTTATTCTAATGATTAAAAGGTCCCTGTTGTCGTAATACTATATTATTTAAATCTCGAAATAAAAGCTAAGTCAGGTCAGGATTCGACCCAGTGTGATATGGATACTTGGGGCGAGATGGCCCAAGCGGTTAGAGTGGGAATTTACTGACCACAAGGTCCGTGGTTCGAACCAGACCTCTGCTTCTCGACTTCCTCTGTCTAGGCTTGGGCAACCTGGCAGTGTACCAGCCTCTATGTGGCATGGCACCTATATACCGAAAATTCGTTACGGCTGAACAATTATATATATA